CATGGGGAATAAATCTGTGGAGAAATGTGTGTCTCCCACGTGGGCATGGGAGTTGGAGGCTTTGCCTCCCTGAGTCAGCTGAGCCAGAGGGAAGCCTGGCTTGCTGTCCTTGCCTGCACCAAGTCGTGGATGCTCCTAATGGCAGCCTGAGCAAGGCTGGCTGCTTTGGGAAAACAAATCCACATAAAAACAGGGTTGTGCCAGAACCTGTTTGCTGTGCTGAGGAGCTGTTGCCAGGAGCAGAGGAAGCCCCTGAGCTGGAGGTGACACACACACACTGCCACGTAACTACTTAATAACTGGGTGGCTCACAGGGGACTAATTCCCTCCTTTTTTCTGCCCCACACAGTTGACAAATGGTTCTACTACCAGAAAAACTGAGTCCCGAGGATGGTGGTGAGACAGCTGTGTCCTTCCCACCGAGGTGCTGCCACACGCAGGAATAGACCAGAAAAATAGCTTCAGTGTCAGCAAGAAGACCTTGCCTGTAACTTTGCTGATTAGAATTCCGTACCTAGCAGTGACATGTCTGCTGAGGCCTGGTGGAGGCTGGAAGAAATAATTTATAAAACCCAAACACCCTGCTTGTGACTGTCATGTGGTGTGCTCTAAGTCATGACAGGAGATCACTCACCTGGGATGTATGGATGCTAGAAATAAAAAACTACTGAAATCCAGTGCTGTGGGGCTCCCTCTCCTTTATCTCTCTGGAGCTGAGGGGTCACCAAATCACAGGTTGGGGAAGCCCTCAGGGATCATGGAGTGCAGCCTGTGAGCGGTTCCCCACCCTGGTACCGAGCGCCCCTCAGCCACTCCGGGGATGGTCACGCCTCCCTGCGCCCCTCAAAGCCTCGTCACCCTTTCCGTGGAGAAGTTCCTCCTCATGTCCAGCCCGGGGCAGCTGCAGAGCGCGTCCTGCCGCTGCCCTTTGAGGCGAGGCGGGGCTAACGGGGCACCTGAGGGCCGCGTCCCTGCGGGGCCGGGGCCGGTCTCGAACCCGGGACCCCGCGGGCAGCCCGCGCCTTTCCCGGTGCCGCGCGGGGCCAGCGGGGCCGGAAGCGGGCGGGGCGCGCGCTGACGTGTTTCCGGCGGGGCGCTGGCGGCGGCCCGGACGGGACTCGGCGGCGGCGGCGGCGGCGGCGGCCCGGGGGCAGCCGGGGGTGAGCGGCGGGGGCGGCCGGCCGGGCCCGGCGGGGCGCTCAGCGGGGCGGCGGGCGCCTGGCAGGCCCGGGAGAGGGGCGGCGGCGGCGCGGGGGGTGACACGCAGGCAGAGCGGGGGCGGGGCGGGGGCCAGGCCTCGCCGCCCGCCCTTGAGGCCGGTCCCACTCACCCCGGTGGCCCCTCGCCCCCCGTCTCCTCTCACCCCCGTTCCCCTTCGCCGACCCCTCCCGTTGCCGGGACCTCCGACCCCCCCGTCCCGGACGCCGTGACCGCGGCTCCTTTTGAGCACCGACACTTCGTAACGCGGGGTTTGGGATTTGTCCCCCGCAGGCATTTTACTTCCAGAGATGTCTTTCATCTTCGAATGGCTCTACAACGGCTTCAGCAGCGTCTTGCAGTTCCTAGGTAATGCCTCAGCAGCCCCCTCCGGGTGGGTTTGGCTTCTCCAGTATCCCATAAAAGTCGGGGTTAAGGTGGTGTGCAGCAGCTCTGGCCAGTGCAAAGTCTGGTGAGGCAGCTCTGTATAAATAAAAGGGCTTTTACACCGGTGCAGAGAAACTTTGGGAGTATTTGGAGGCGTTGGGCTCCCACTCAGGTGTTTCTCTTGCCCTTTGCGTGCCTGAGAGCAGCTGGGCTGTCCAGCCCCAGGCAGAGGTGCTGCCTCGCCAGGGAGGGAACCCCATCCTCCTCCTCCTCCTCCTAGAGTCCTGGATTCCAGTGGAACTCCTTGCTGGAGGATAGGGTGCCCATTCTCAAGATCCCCTCTTGCAAGGAGGATTAGAGGGACAGAGTGAGAAGTCCTGTTGGAAACCTTTGGGAGCTTTCCTGTGGCAGACACAACAAAAATCAGTTTATGCCAAGAAAACAACACTCTGTTCCCTGCTTTGCACTTTTTCCTGGACAACTCGCTGCTCTGTTTTATGAGTTTGTTTGATTTTAACATTTTCTGAGGAGGCAGATTGGTCCATAACACTCTGCTGCTAGCACAGATCTGAGGAAATAATGGAATTCTCGGGGGCACACGAGCTTAGGAAATGTCCATTGCTGTAAGCATGCCTTGGAAGGAGCCTGTTTGAGCTGTGTGTGTTTTCCCTGCTGCCCCGTGTCCGTGCTGCAAGTGTGCACAGGTGGCAGCAGAGCTCTGGGAAAGGACTTCCCCAAAAAAGCAGCGTGGCGTTCGGGCTCCGGATGAGCCCGCTGGAGCTTCCCTCTTGTTTTGTTCCCTCTCCTCCTGCAGGTTTGTACAAGAAGTCTGGAAAGCTGGTTTTCCTGGGGCTGGATAACGCAGGGAAAACCACTCTGCTGCACATGCTCAAAGATGACAGGCTGGGCCAGCACGTCCCCACGCTACATCCCAGTAAGTCTCCCTGGGAAAAGCCTCCCAGCCTGGATTTTCCTCTGGAACTGTGGGGACACGGTGTAGGAAGACACCTTGGTGGCAGCTCTGCCTGGGGGATTTGAGGGTCTTAAAACTTGAGCTGAGGTTGCAGTTGCACTGTGCTTCCCCAAGCTGAAGTGGGTTTGTGTTTTCATCTCTAGAAATGCCCAGGAACTGGTATGGCTCAATTAGTAGAAAGGGAAGATTTTCCTAATGGAAAGCCTAATAAGGGATAATAATTGCAGGTTAAAAAGCTTCTATGGGAAGCAGGAGAAATTAGTTTCTGCCGCTAGTGATTTTGGGAAATGGCTGCATTTCAGCCACTGAATTCCACAAGAAGTTTAGGGAATTCCTTATTGGAAGAGCATGTGTGATGCCAGCACGAATGCCCACCTTCCTTGTTTTCCTGAATCCCACCTGTGCTTTCCATTTCAGCATCAGAAGAGCTGACAATTGCTGGAATGACCTTCACAACTTTTGATCTGGGTGGACATGAACAAGGTGAGGAAAAAATGACCAAAAATTGATCCAGACGAGTGTCAACAATTAGCAGTGCCTAATTATTTGTTGCCTGGATTTATTTATGGAACAATGTGTGGAGGCAACCTCCTGGCTGTAGGATTGCTTGGAAGGAAATGCTGCCAGTTCATGCCCTGCTGCCTGAAATATTTTTAGCTGTGGAAGACTCCAATATAATTTAGTTTGAATAATTGATGGATTTTTAGTTATGCACTTTCTAGAAGTTTTAAACATAGGGGGTTTTTTTCCCTTTTATACACAAAACTACTGGAAGGAAGACAGCCTGGCTAAAAAGGCAGCCATGGTTGCTGAGGCTTGGTGGAGTTTTCCCTGTGTGGAGATTTCACAGGGCCATGTTTGTCCCTTGTGTTTTCCAGCTCGCCGGGTCTGGAAAAACTACCTGCCTGCCATCAATGGGATTGTCTTCCTGGTGGACTGTGCAGATCACTCACGGCTTATGGAATCCAAAGTTGAGCTTAATGTAAATACACTTCTCTTGTTTCCTTTCTCCAAGACCTGATCAGCTAAATTATGAATAGCAGCCATCTCTCCCAGAGCTGGAGGAGCCTGGATGTCCTTGCTCGGGGTTGGCCACAGGCACTTGAGTTCAGGGGAGGCTCAGCTTGGACAGCAGCAGGAATTTCTCCATGGAAAGGGTGCTCAGGCCTTGGCAGGGGCTGCCCAGGGAGCTTTGGAGTGCCCATCCCTGGAGGTGTCCCAGGAAGGGCTGGAGGTGGCACTCAGTGCTCTGGGCTGGGGACAAGGTGGGCACTGGGCACAGCTGGGACTCCATGGGCTGGCAGGGATTTTCCTGCCTCAGGGATCCTGTGAGTCTTCCACAGGAGTATGGAAGCCCCAGAAGGGAGCCCTTGTTGGTCACAGAGCTCAAAGAAAACCATTTTCTTCAGGCAACGACTCCTTTTTCCACCTGTCTGCTCAGCTCTTGTTGGCTCTTGCACGCAGGCGTTAATGACAGACGAGACAATATCCAACGTGCCAATCCTTATCTTGGGAAACAAAATCGACAGACCAGAGGCCATCAGTGAGGAGAAACTGCGGGAGATCTTTGGGCTCTACGGACAGACCACAGGAAAGGTAGGGAAGCATCCAAATCTTGGATTGGCATGGGCAGGGGAGAGCTTGCCCGCTTCCTTGCAGGTTGAGCCCTGATCGAGTTGTGACTGAGAATTTGTCCACTAATTGGTCAAGGTCAAACAATGATAATAATGATGATGCTGCCTGAAGGGAGCCTAGGAGAGAGAGACTGTTTAAAAGCCATGGAGCAGTGGGACAAGAGGGACTGGCTTCCCACTGCCAAAGGCAGCTTTGAATGGGAAATTGGGAAGAGATTCTTCCTGTGAGGGTGGGGAGGCCCTGGCACAGGCTGCCCAGAGGAGCTGTGGCTGCCCCATCCCTGTTCAAGGCCAGGTTGGACGGGGCTTGGAGCAGCCTGGGATAGTGGGACCGAGCAATGGGGTGGAATGAGGTGATCTTTAAGGTCCCTTGTAACCCAAACCTCCGATTCTGCCCTTGGGCAAGTTTTGAGGCTGCTGGGATTGTCCAAAATGCAGTGCACACACAAAGGGGTCTGCAAAAGGAGCTCCCCTGGATGGCTGTGGCTCGCTGGGTGCTTCCCTGAGGGCACCAGGGGTGCAGATGTGACTCCTGTTTGGATTTCCCCAGGGAAATGTGCCACTGAAGGACCTGAATGCACGCCCCATGGAGGTGTTCATGTGCAGTGTGCTCAAGAGGCAAGGCTACGGTGAGGGCTTCCGCTGGCTATCGCAGTACATTGACTGATACTGGCACGGACACGAGAGTTTTACTCCTCTGGACTGATCCTGTTCACTTCAGCTTCCTATGGACTTTTCTATTAGAACGTGGAAGGCTTTCCAAGCACATACTGGCATTGTCCAAGAGACTCCTGGTTTTCCGGCTGCCCTTATGGCACAGTGGTGACACCGCTCTTTTCCACGCGGCGGGGAGGCAGCGCCGTTCCTGAGTTGTCCCTGCCACTCGGGTGACAGCGGGGCTGCTCCAGTCTGGGAAGGCAAAACTCTGCACGCTGCGATGTAAGAGCTGAAAAAGAGAGCACGTCTCACCACTGTGGTTAATTGACTTCAAAAACAAACAAACAAACAGAAAAGGAAAAAGCGATTATATTTTTTAAAGAAAGTGTTAATGCAAATGACGTCCCTTCTAACTTTTTAGTTTAACGTTCATCTTGTTTAGTCCAGAGTCTGGTTTAGGGTTTTTTAAAAATATATTTAACGGTATTTAGGTATTTCACAAATTACTGAACCAAGGTATCACGATATTAGAAGTCCTCAATAAACATAGCATTTGGGCTTAACTGAGCTGTAGGGTGGCTGTGCTGTGTCACGCTGACCGACGACGGCGCGGTGCCGTTGGGACTGAGGTGTGCAATCCCAGCTTCTTTAGTTTACAGGGAATTTTTTTTTTTTTTTTTTTTTTTTTTACTGGTTGGGGAGGAGCGCCTGGTGCAGGTGCTGGGGCTGGTGTGCAGTGGGAAGGGACTGCCTGGTTCCCCCTCAGGCCAGACCCTCCACTGAGGATCCTCTGGCCGCGCCATCACAGTACGAACCACGGAGCAGTTTTGGTTGTTGTAGCATGGAAGTGTTTGACATTTGCATATCAAGAGGTGATTAATGTAGACTAAACTGGTTTATTTTATACTCTCAACAGACTTTTTTTTTTTTTCTGAAATGTCATTGCTGTCTGGCACTCATTTTCAGTTCAATAAAGACATGTCTTTCTCCTCCGAAGGGGCAATGAGCCTCAATCTGGCTTGGTGTTTGCTGGGCCTTGGGGCCATCAGAACACCAGCCACAGAATTCCAGAAGTGTTTGGACAACGCTGTCAGGCACAGGGTGGGATTCTAAAGGCTGTCCTGTGCAGGGCTAGGAGCTGGACTGAATCCTGGTCACTTCCAACTCAGGATATTCATTCACTGGTTCCATGGTTCTGTGACCTGCAGAGTGCAGCCAGTGAGGGAAACAGGCAGGATGAAGAGCCGCTTGCCTCTGGGCTGGCAACCAGGGAGAGCTCATGGCTTGCAGGGGCTTTGCTCTTGGTAGAACAAACCCACACCGAGCCCAGACAGCCAGGAAGGGGCTGGGGGGGAAACGGGGAGGGGGGTCTGACTACCGGTATTCGGGGGCGATTTTAGCTGTTCCAGAAAGATCTTCCCAACAGGTACCTCTGTTGGAAATAAAGTTTCGTACTCGTTAGTGCTGCGGGTGAGGTGGGAAGCGAGCGTGGCCGTGGGGTGTCCGGGCCGAGGGTGCCGGGAAAGGGGCGCCTGTGCCGGTGTCCCGAAGTGCAGCGCTGGGTCGTGGTGGCCGAGGGGCGGCTGCGGGCCGAGGGTCCCGGTTCTGCCAGGGTGGAGGGGCGGCTCCGAAGCAGGCATTCCTGATGTGCCGGGGAAGCGGGGCCGGGCCGGGGTCCCGGGGAAGCGGGGCCGGGGGACGTCGCGGGCCGGGGTCCCGGGGAAGCGGGGCCGGGCCGGGGAAGCGGGGCCGGGGTCCCGGGGAAGCGGGGCCGGGGTCCCGGGGAAGCGGGGCCGGGCCGGGGTCCCGGGGAAGCGGGGCCGAACCGCGGGCCGGGGTCCCGGGGAAGCGGGGCCGAACCGCGGGCCGGGATCCCGGGGAAGCGGGGCCGGGCCGGGGTACGGGGGAAGCGGGGCCGGGGTCCCGGGGAAGCGGGGCCGGGCCAGGGAAGCGGGGCCGGGGTCCCGGGGAAGCGGGGCCGGGCCGGGGGCCGCGCAGCCCCCGTGAGGGCCCCGCGGGGGCGCGTCCGTCACGCGCGCGCCCCGCCCCGGCCAATGGGGAGGGCGCGGCGCGGGGCCGCAGCCAATGGGCGCGCGGGGCGGGCCCGGGGGCGGGGCGCGGCGGCGGCGGTGATGGCGGCGGCGCCGCCGTGCTGCGCGGTGCGGGTGCGGGGCGCGGGCGGCGGCGATGGCGGCTGCAGCGGGCTGGTGCTGAGCCGCCGCCCCGCGCTGGTGCTGTGCCACGCCGCCGTCTTCGCCCCGTTCCTGCGCGCCGGCCCCATCGCCTGGGCGCGGCCCGCCGCGCTGCCGCCCGCCGCGCTCCGGCCGTGCCCGCGCCTCAGCGTGGTGCTGGGCGCCGCGGCCGGCGGGCTGCGGGAGCTCGAGGCGCGGCTGCTGGCGCTGGTGCCGTGCGCGGCGTTCCGGCGGGCGCTGGAGCGCGGCCTCGGGCGGGCGGAGCGGTGGCGGTTCGGGGCCTCGGAGGAGGCGGGCACCGACCCGCGGGCGCTGCCCTGGTTCGCCTGGCTGCGGGTGCCCGGGCTGGACGCGCCCGAGGGCGGCTGGGCGGCGCGGGCCAGCGCCGGCTGCCTGCGCAAGGGGCAGGCGCTGCTGGCCTGCGGGTCGCCTTTCGGGGACCTGTGCCCCGAGCTCTTCCTCAACACGCTGAGCCGGGGCGTGGTCAGCAACCTGGCGGGCGAGGAGAACGCCCTGGTGCTCACCGATGCCCGCTGCCTGCCCGGCACCGAGGGCGGCGCCGCCTTCGTGCCCTCGCCCGACGGGCCGCGCGTGGTGGCCGTGATCGCCGCCTCCTTCTGCTGGAAGGGCGCCGAGTGGGTCGGGCTCACGCTGCTCTGCTCTCTCGCCGCCATCCTGCGCAGCAGCGCCGGTGTCCTGGGTGAAGCCGGGATCGCGGTGCCGCCGGTGCCGGCGTGGGTGGCCGCGGTGCCGGCGAGCAGCGGGCAGGACCCCCTGGGCTGGACGGCGCTGGTGGAGTGCGGGGCGACCTGGGGCTCCGGGGTGCTGCTGGCACCAAGGATGCTCCTCACCTGCCGGCACGTCGTGGAGGCCAGAGCCCCACTCTATGTGACACCGGCAGCCGGCCCCGACCAGTGAGTGCGGCTGTCCCCCTGCCACCCTGAACCCCCCGACCCTGCGTGTCCCCCGCCGTGACATCTCGTTAACTTTGTCCTTAGGGATGCCGCCGTGCTCAGGGGACGTGTTGTGTTTGCCACCGAGGAGTCATCCCCCTTTGACGTGGCCGTGGTGGAGCTGGAGGAGAGCGTGCCAGGCTTTGTCCCGCCGTGCCTGGCCAGCACCTTCCTCCCAGGTAAGCACCGGGGGGACACGGGCTGTTAGGTAGGGACTGCCTCGCACCTGCTGCCTCTCCCACCCCAGGAGAAGAGGTGACCGTGGTGGGCTTCGGGGCGCTGGGGCAGGCGTGCGGCCCCTCGGTGACAGCGGGGGTGCTCTCGGCCGTGGTGGCTGTGGCTGGGCGCCCTGTCATGCTGCAAACCACCTGTGCCGTCCACGGGGGCTCCAGCGGCGGCCCCCTCGTCTCCTCCCGCAGTGGATGCCTCATGGGTAAGCCAGGGGTCTCCCCGTGGGCAGGTGGGGGTGGTCCCACGGGCATCCCCCGGCCGGACCCAGTGATGTGGGCATCACTCCCTCCCCGCCAGGCATCGTGGCAAGCAACACGCGGGACACCGGTGCGGGGGCTACCTACCCCCACCTCAACTTCTGCATCCCCATCACCATCCTGCAGCCCCTCGTCGCATGCTACAGCCGCACCGGCGACCCCGCCGCCTTCGCCGAGCTCAACCGGGTGGGTGAGGAGGTGAGGGCGACTTGGCAGCTCCAGCAGAGGCCAGGACCCCCCAGCAAGCTCTGACCCCCCTCGCGTGGGGCTTGTGCCGGGGACCGAGGTATCAGGGACTGAGATGCCAAGGATGGGGCTGCCACATCTCTTCAGCCCGGTGGTGTGGGACCCAAGCACCTGCACTGCACAGAGCTGGTGGAGCGTGGGCGCTCTGGGGCAGGGGACACAGCACAGTGCCTCTGACAGCTGCTGACAGCCCCAGACTGGGGAGGTTTGGGGTCTGTGTTGTTTTATTTTCTCCCTGGGGCCATAAATGCAGTGAATTGAGGCCCTGGTGTCCCGTGTGCTGAGTGGCTGCAGGGGGGTGGTGGAGGCCCTCACTAGGGCGTGGGTTGGGTTCTGGGGGGCAGGTTGGTCCTGTAAGGGATATTCTGGGTTAGGGGTAGGATTGGGGTAAAGCATGGGGAGAGAAGGCAGTTCTGATTCCTTCCACAGCTCTGGACCCTGTGGAAAGGGGGTCTGTTTGGGATGCCGGAGAAGGTCAGGAGCTGTGGAGGGGACATGTCCCTGGGGAGGGAGGCCAGTTCCAGCTTCATGGCAGCAGAGTGCAGGAACCAACCCAGGGCACTGACAGGGGGGCACTCCCACCCCAACCTGCTCCCCAGCCCTGCTCACTGGAGGGCACAGCACCACCACCACCCCCTCCCCAGGACAGCCCTGCAGGGCAGGTGGGTGCAGGGGAGGCACGGGGGGTGCCTTGGGGAGGAACGGGCGGGCGAGTGTTTGACACAGCACGGGGTATTTATTTCACAGCCACTACACAACGCCGGGGGCCGGGGCAGCCACACAAGCACAACATGAGGGGGGATGAGGGGAGGAAGGAGGGGCAGCTTATCTATAAGGGGGTTTGTTGGGTTTTTTTTTTGTTTTCTCCTTTTTTTTTTTTCCCACTTTTATTAGCGCCATTTGCCCGGTTGAAGACCACGCAGCAGCACACTAGGCCTACAAGGCTCTACCCAAAAAAAAAAAAAAAAAGCTCAAATTCGCATAAGAACGCCCCCCCCCCCCCCAGCTCACCCCCTCCCCAGGCGAGCACCCCGTTGCCCCATCCCACACGGGACCGGAGAGGGGAGCACCCACCCCATGCCACACCGGCAGCGGGGGGGCCACGGGGACCACCAGCTGGGGGGCTGCCTCCCGGCCGTGCCGCCCACCGGGCTCTCCTGCTCCTCTACCAGATGTAACCGCCGTCGTCGCCCTCGCCTGCTTCACCCTCCTCTTCCTCGCCTTCCTCGCCCGCTTCCTCCGGCTCCTTCTCCTCCTCGTCCTCCCAGCCCACGCTGCTCCCGAAGTCGCCCGAAAACCCCGTTGCTTCATCTGGAGGGGCAGAGGTTCAGGGGCGGTTCCGGGGCTGCAGCCCCGTCCCCAGGCGGGCGCTCCCGCAGCTCTCACCGCAGTCGGGGCTGCCGTGGCCGCGGGTGCCCGTCAGCTCGGCCCCGTGCTGGTCCACGCACCAGCACTCGCCGCCGCCCGGCTCGCACTGTGCCCGCCGGTAGTAGCCATCCTCATCGCAGCTGGGAATGAAGGTGCCTGCAGGGAAGCGATGGCCCCCCACCCCCCCCAAACAATGCAGTGCCAAAGCCCCCAGGGAGATCCCCATCCTCATTCCAGCCCGGCCGCACGGGGCACTGCTGGGGGAAAGGGCCCTGGGATGTCCCACTCACCCAGTTTTTTTTTGGTTGCTTCTTGGATCTGGATCTTCTCCAGCTCCCTGAGACAGGGCGGCTCTGCAGCAGCACCACATGCTGCTCTTAGGGCAGGCATGCGGCCCCTCCGGGACAGGCAACCCCTCACCCCACACGGTGTGCACCCCAAAACCCACAGCGTTCATCTCTGTGGTGTGCATCCCCCAGAACTCCAGATCCCCCCATGGAGTGCATCCCCCAGACCCCACGGTGTGCATTCCCCATGGTGTGCATCCCACAATGTGCACCCACCCTGACCCACGGAGTACATCCCCCAGCTCCACAGTGTGTATTCCCCTGGCTCCATGCTGTGCATCCCCCACACATCCCCCTTAAACCAAGATGTGCTTCCCCACGACCCACAGCATGCATCCCCACATGGTTTCCAGGCCCCCCAAACCCTGTGGTGTATCTCTCCCCCTAAGGCAAACATCCCACAGCCACTCCAAACCCACAGCAAGGATTGCCCATTACCCCATGACATATGTCCCTCCCACACACACACTAACCCCACAGCATGGCTTCCTTATGACCCCATGATGTACATCCCCACTCCCAACTCCAATCCCATGATGTACATCCCCCACACCCCAGTCCCACAGCATGGATCCCCCATAACCCCACTATGTACAACCCCAATCCCACAGCATGGATCCCCCATAACCCCACGAGGTACAACCCCAATCCCACAGCATGGATCCCCCATAACCCCACGATGTACAACCCAATCCCACAGCACAGATTCCCCAGTCCATGACATGCATCCCTCAGGACACAGATCCCCCCAGCCTCACGGAGTGCATCCCCCTGACCCCGCGGTGTCCAGCCTCCGGCCCCTCAGTGCCATCTGCCCCCTGCCCTGACGCACTTTCCCTCCAGAAGCAGAAGCACCACTCGGGAGCAGAGACGCGGCCGTCCTTGGAGGTGTCGCAGGAGTTGAAGAAGGCGCGGATGCACACCTCGTACTTGTCCAGGTTGATGGCTGCCAGCTCAGTCGCCTCCAGGAAGAGGTCCCCGCTCGTGTCCAGCCGGGTGAACATCCACCCCACCGCCTCCTTGCAGGTGGCCGCCACGCTCCTCTCCAGCGCTGCAGGGCAGGATGAAGCCCGTGGCTGCCC